TGGAGAGGGAGTTGAATCCCTAGTGAGTCCCGAGGTGGGGTTGTGCCCGCTAGTGCCTATCTGTGCTGGTTAGTCCCGGGGTTTGTTGGGATGGGGCGGGGCATCGCAGGGAGGATTCCCAAGGTTCGGCGGGGGTGGTGGGAGTTCTCCGGTGGAGTTCCATGGCATTTTGGGGCAGTGTTATTGAGGTCAATTCTCGGATTTCCCGACCAGGGGTGTAGGGGTTTTCTTTGTCTGTGGCGGGGACGTGCGCTGTATTGGTATCGGAGGGCGGACCTTCGAATCTTTCACGGTGCCCAGCGGGTTCAGGGCTTTGGTTGTCCTGGCAGTGCGGTTGGTGGGGGGGTAATGGAGGTCTCCCCATGGTCTGGCCCTTATGCCGGCACTGGTGGCAAGGGCGGCGGGGCCTTCTTCATTGGCGGAGTTTGGTGAGGCGAGGTTCGTCCTTGCAGCATAGTTGGTCCGGGTCAGGGTCGTGTTCCGGAGTGTTGCGTCTGTGGGTGGGCATGTTTCGAGTGGTGCTTTGGTGTGCTCCGGAGTGTCAATGACTGAGGGGGTAGGATGTGGGGTGATCAGTCCCAACCAGTTCCTTCGGGTCCAGGGCCGAAATTTGGGGTTCCAGATCATCTACGTGATATTGCTCTCCTGACCAAAGGTAAGCCTGAGATGGACAAAGGGGGTCTTACATATTTCTGTTACTTCCTTGAGTTCGGAGGTCTGGGGGTCGGTGGTTCCTTCATCAGGGAAGAAGTGGGTGGTCCCGGAGTCGACAAAAGGGTCACTCGGTGGGGATTTGTTGGTTGTTCATGGTTGTTGGGGCGGCGGGGAGGTCGGCTGCAGGGAGGTACTGGAGTGGGGTTCCCCGGGAGTCGCGGCAGGGTCGAGGCTACTCTTCATTCATGTTCCGGAGCGGCCTGGAGATTGTTGCAAGTGTGGGGGTGGCAGGGGGGAGAGGCACCGCTCGCTTTTCTGGATGCTCCGATGATGTGGTCCCTGTTCGGCAGACATATTCCGGTGTAGGGGCGGGATTTGGAGTGGGTGGTGATTTATGTCGCAGAGTTGGGGCTACCAGGGCATCATTGTCGAGCTGGCGCCATGAGTTCTCTTGATCAAATGTCGTGGTCGGAGCGGAGGCCCTGGAGTCATGTCACCAGGGTCCAGAGCTGTGTTGAAGGGTTCGGAGGGGTCTGGGTTGGGCAGTTTTGGGCTGGCATGGGGTTGTTTGGGTTGTCGAGCCAGGCGGGGGAGGTCCTTTGAGCATATCGGAGCGTGTGCCCTTTGGGTCGTCAGGTTGCTTAAACGGCCAATCGTCGCTTTCTGGGTGATGGTGGGGCTTCTCCCTCCCTTATATGAACATGTCAGCGAATTTAGGAATACTTAGGGAACTACTTCGTATAGGGTCCTTTTTCCTATAGTTAGTTCGGGGTGGCTCCTATGCTGGGGATTCCTTTGTGGGAGGTGGTGTAGTCTGGTGGTGGAGTTTAGGCTCAGGGGTGGTATGCGGGGGGGTTTTGGCGTCCAGGGTCCTCATTGTTGGGGGCTCCGGATTGTGTGGGGGAGGGTGGTGAGATAGCGGCGTGGTCCGGAGTTGTCCCTTGTTGGGAGTGGGGTGCCATGGTTCTCCTTATTAACGTCTAGAGGCTCGGGGATGTTTTGGTCTTGTTCCGGGGTTGTCGGGGTCAGGTCGGAGGTGTCGGGGCCCCTTCATTTGTTGGGCGGAGGTGACAGCCAAATCAATCGAGGTCCGGAAGCAGGTCCTGGGGTTGGAGCGTAGCCTAGGTCTGAGGTTCTGTGTCTGTGGTTGGGGTTGTTGGTGATTAGTTGCATCGGTCTTCAGGGCTGCTAGTGGTTCGGTGGATCCACAGGTGGGCTTTGGGGAAGCGCGTTCTCAGTGGTCTCATCGTGGCTGGCAATCCTTTGCACAATGGGTGACTGTCTTGTGGCGGGTTGGTGTTATTGTTTGTCGGAGGGTTGTCGCGGTGCCGGGGACATTGTCGCTCATTGGGTCGGGTGGTCGCTGGGTTTTGGAATGCTGTTCTTTCGGTGATGTCGGGGTCAACTTTGTGTGAGGGAACAGGGTTGGCGGAGAGGGTAAGGGTGGGGTGGGAGATGATTTGGCAGTTTGCGCAAGGGTTGGAGGTTGGGTGTGAGTTGGGAGGGTGTCCGTGGGGAGGAGCCGTTGTATGGATGTAACCTGAGCGGAGGGGACATTTGGTGTTGGATCCATGACTCAATGTGCCTCGGCAAATTGGGCAGGGCCGTATGAATCATAAGGGTTTCCAGGCACGGGTAGACCATAGACATTGGAGTTATTTGATCATGTGTACAGAGATAATGCGGGCATCACGGACGGGGTAAGGCAGAGTCTTGATATTATATCAGGTTCCGCTGACCCCAGGGGCTCAGCTACACTGGGCGAGTCCTTACTAGGTGGGCATGATCCCCTTGCACAGGTAACCGAACACTCGAAGGCGTTCCGGGTCCTGGTGGCTTGTACGGGTAGTTGGGGGGATGTGATCCAGACAGATCCCGGAAGGTCCAGAGAAGTCGGATTGTGAGGAAACGGGACGGTCTTGGCGGGGTTCAGGCAGAAGGCTGTATGGGAGATTTGCGGAAGCAAGGGAGTAGGTGGCTGTGTGATCAATGGGAACAGAGCCGGGGTTTGATGGGAGATCATTTGGAGCTGATGGAGTCCGGGACCGAGCGAAGAGTGAGGTTCAGACCTGGTAAAGGAGTGTTGGGGTTCATAATCGTAATTGTGGGGTTCATGAGGTCATTAGGGTTGATGAGGACTTGGGCACAATGGTCTGACGGAGTCACCGAGACAGCGTCGGACGAGACAATATGGAACAAGAGTAGATTCGAGTGGAGGTATAAAAAGATAACAAGAATGATAATGAAATGAAGACAAGACAAGACCGGGAGACTGAGATAAGACCGGGAGACTGAGATAAGACCAGGAGACTGAGATAAGACCGGGAGACTGAGATAGGACCAGGAGACTGAGAGTAAGGAGAATGAGACACGAAACACGAAAAGGAAACAATCAGACCATAGGTAACGTTAAGCAATATCAAGACTAGAGTACAAAGAGCTACTCAACAGCTTATATACTGACTACCGGAGAACTTCGGGGTATGTCAGCTGCGGCGGCGGGGTTTGGCAGAGCTCAACGGAGTGGGCGGGTGTTGGTTGCAATCGAGGATCGGGCCGCGCTGACACATTGTTGGGATCATTGGGGAATGCAGGTCGCCCCGAGGTTGTCGTGATACCCCGGAATAGGTCAGAGGAACCAGGGTGTTGAGTTGATGATGGGTGGCAAAGATTGGGAACAGCGGGGGTGGTTCTCGGGGTTTGGGAGATCCAGGGTAAGTGTCAGTGGCTGCGGGGAAGGCACCGAAGTTGGCCAGGGGGCCATCGGAGTTAGCCGGGGAGGTGTCGGAGTTAGCCGAAATAAGTGCGGGGCATGGGCGGAAGTTCAGCGGAGCGTCGGGGTTTTTTAGGGGTTCAGGGGGTTGATGGGCAATGTGCAGGGGTTCAGGGGACGGGTCGTGACATGACCATTCTGTCATGGGTTCTGAATCTCAGGATCGATCTTCTGAAGGTATTGTCTGGGCGTGGGGAAGGGTGGGTTGTGACACCCTTACTGGTGTGATGGAATGGGAGCTTAGAGCTGGAAGCGGAGTTCTTCACAGGACAAACCAACACACACTCAGTAAGCCCTGCGGAGTATAACAGGGTTTAGAAATTGGGATGGCACATTAATGGCAGATGGTGTAGGACTTAGGGTGGGAAGTAGTATGAACTCTGATGGAGTCAAATTGTAGTAAAAGTAGCTATGAAGCATAACTGGCATCAGCTGAAAAGGGATCAGGCCAGAGAACTAGCTGGAGTGTCTGTAATTACCACCCCCCATTATGTACTGCAGGGCCTAGGACACAATGTTTAAGGATTATTCCATGTAAAAATAGGTCTCAAAACAAATAAAATGAATCATCATCATCATCATCAGGCCATGTAACATAGCTAGGAGCTAGGGGCTGAGAGCTAGGGCTAATTCTTGACATGCAGCCAATCAGAGCTAGCTTAACTTGTTTAGCCATCTAGACTAATCTAGACATATTCTATTTAGAAACTTTGACATAGCTGATATGTATCAGCAAACCAGACCTTTCACCTATCTGCTTCTGATTCAGCTACTATGATGTGTTTAGATGCCTTTCCATAACTGACTGCAATCTCCCACAGCTAAACATACTCCTTAACAGATGCACTTTTGATGTAGTGTATGTGAAAATCAACCTAAGTAGCATATTATCTTGTCTTGTACCAAAATCAACTTACATCTGAGGGGTTAGCATGTGAAGCAGTGACCACTTCTACAAGTTACCATGTATACATTGCACAATAAGTGTCAATATGAACCATGAACTAAATTGAGCAATATGCTGGATGATGTGGTGTGGTGAACCAAATAAGTAAAGTATGGTGTGTGAGATGTACCAAGGAGTATGTATAGCAAATTAAATAAAAATGCATCTATTTAGCAGTACTTCAATTAGCTCTTCTTTATCTGGTCTTGTTCACTGCATCACAATGCAAGTATAATCAGATCCCTTCATTACTTTTGTAGGCTATGAAAGGATTGGTGGTTCTACACCTGCTTTAAACTTTACATTTTCAAATTTCCAGCCATCTGAAACCCATCACATATGACAATAATGACATGGAACAGAAGTTCAAAGAAGAATATTCCAGAATGTTTACTAATTCCCATGTAAAATACAGTGAAGTGGCAGGGAGTCCATGCATTGATTTCAGCACATATAACTCTTCTCTTGCTACTTGCATATGAGAGAGTTGAGGATTTTATTTCAGGTTTATTGCACACAATATTTGACATTGAGGATGAAAGGAAGGCACGAACTTTGGAATTCCCCCAAGTGCTAGAAAAATGGTTAGTTAATAGAATAATTGCAAATAAAAAACAAGCAAAAGCTCGACGCCAGCAGGATTTGAACCTGCGCCCTCAAAGAGGAACAGATCACCCAAATTCTTCTTACGAATTCTAATCTGTCGCCGTAACCACTTGGCTATAGCGCCGTACATGTCGTATCCTTTATGTACAATATCGATATTGGGGTACAATTTGTAACCGATCATAATGGAGGCACAACCAAGTGACGCAATCGATTGTGTTTGCTATAATCACCGTATACAACAGAGAGCATTATCGAGAAAAGAAAGTAAAATTACACAATAATTCGTGATATGCCTGAGACCAAGCAAGCTGCCAACTAATGAACCCGATGAGCTCAACCTTGTGACTGGATGTATACCTACCTACCTACCTACCTTTATTCAGTTTAATAAAAAGCAAGGCCAAAAATGAAGGACGACGCCAGCAGGATTTGAACCTGCGCCCTCAAAGAGGAACAGATGAATGAAAGAATATTCTAATCTGTCGCCGTAACCACTTGGCTATAGCGCCATGCCGTACTTTTATAGGTATGAATACCAGGTACGACTTGCTATCGAGTGGCGCAATGCAATTCTTTTTGGCTCATAGCTTGCACACATCCGATCCGGTCATATCATAAACGCTATATATCCTCAAAGTTGATGAATCGCAAGTCATGTATACAACAGAGGTAACCAGTACCAAGCATTGTCGAAAAATGTACGAGTAAATTACGCAATTCGAGATAGTATTCACTATGACATTGATCCAGCTGACTCGGATCATCCAGGACTCAACGGTGGTAGGAGTAGAGGATATTATCATTTGCTGATGAATGGCATACCACGGACTACGTATTCAAGCGGCGGCTGTGTTGGCTCCGCCTCGCGCGTCATGACTATGGTCACCAAGACAACATTCATCAACAACCTAGCTTTGGAAACCCCCAATACCCATCCATTTAATTCAGAGCGGTATGATTCAAACATTCTTATTCATTCTGTTATGTAATGCTAGTTTTGACACAAGACAAAAAAAAAGGCACGTAGGGATAGTCATTTCAAGATAAAGAGTCAGGTATTACAGAATAATCAGTAGTGGGCCTGACGACGGATGAAACGTAAGCGATCCGCGAGAAGGAAAAAAGCACCGCGGCGATAAGCAGTACGTATGGATGTGTAGAACGTTGGTTCAAGGCGAGTGTTTGTATGCATGTACGTATGGACGGCGTATGACGGATGGGAAAGTATATGTATGGTGTGTGTGATAAAGGAGTCGTAGAGGCCACCGAAAATTCAACGCACAGATCCACAAGAGGCCGAAGAAGATGGGCGTAGACGGAGCGATCACTGGGTCTTGCACTCCTCGGGGTTGGCATTAGCGTTAGCAGCGCCTTTTGGTGGCCCGCGACGGCGGGCGGGAATATCTGCATCCTCATCGGATTCCTAGGAAGGCAGGAGAGGAATGTTAGGATTCCATTGAATAGAAGACGATGCTTTGAGTAAGCTTACGTCTTCAAAAGCCCCGCCGCTCTCGTCTTCATCGTCATCGTCATCGAAATCGTCGTCGTCATCATCCATCATGTCATATTCAAGAGCTTTGCCAGTGAAGTAATCGATGGCGCGAGGAATAATCTGGTGGAAAAATAAGATAAGAATAAAATTTTTCATATGTTCGTACCTTTTCTTTGAGATCTTCGCCGATCTGATAATCCACTTCCAGCTTCTCCTCAAGCTCTTCAAATTCGTCCTCTTCGATGTCACCATTCTCAAGAGCGTCCTCGGCAGGTGGCACGGGCGGGCTGAAGAAGTTAAAGAATGACTCGGTAGGATGTGCCTTGCGCACAAGACGCGTTCGGTTTGTGTCTAGTTGTGGCAATCAGAAGGAGTCCCACAAAAAGACAAGAAAAACTCACTCTTGTTACGCTGCTTTTTAATCTCGAACTCCTTAGTGAGGTCCTTTTCTTCCTTCCACTTGATATCCGTGCCGATGGCGCGATCGTACACGAAATCGCCCGAGTAGCCAACCTCCTCCTGATAGAAGTACGTCTTCTCAAGGATCTCATTCTCAAAAAAGTCGTTCGAGCTGAAGGCAAAGAGAAGCTTGAAGCCAGGTTTACCACCATCAACCTTGTCATCAAGGTATTCGATGCGAATATCAGTAAGGTGCTTGAGCGCTTCAGCATCACGTTCGGTAATGAGCTCGGTAATGCCGGGATGATTTCGGAGAGCAGTGAGCCAGAACTGAGGAATACCGCTCGCGGTGGGACTGGTATCCTTGGGAACTGTGACGTACTCGTCGTCGTCCTTAATGGAGTACTGCTCGCCAGCATCAATTTCCTCCTGTGTGGGTGCACTTTCGCCAGCGATGATGGCGTGGCGACGCTGGTATAGAGGCATTTGAAGACCCAGATACTACAAGAAGGTCGTCAGAGTAGATCCCTCCGCCATCGTAGTGATATACCTTCTTCTCTAGTTCGAGACATTCGCGTTTGTACTGGTTCTGCAGCTCATTCTGCTTGACCTGCACGCCCTTAAGTGCCTCGACACTCAACCGAACCTCGATCGGCAGGCTCTCGATGTAACCGGAGCTCTTCCCAATGAGACCTGCAAGCTTTCCTTGCACCATCCCCAACATCTGCTGCTCGAGACCGCCGAGCTCGGGCTTCGCTTCCTCAGCATCGTCCTGCTCGTTATCTTCGGTGATGTCGGGCACTGTCGGCCGAGAAAGTGCTAACGAAATTGGGGCCTGATTCAGAGGCGTATTCTGAGGCGTCGGCGCCGTGATGTTCGATGAAATAGGTACGGTGGACGACATGCTGAACGACGGGCAGATCAGTAGATAAAAAATCGCAAATTAGCTCAACCAAGAAGCGGAGTTTCGGAAATTTCCGGCAGGCACCAACAAACATCTCATATCTGGAAATTTTATTCATAAGTGAGAAAACTCATATTATCACTTATGAATCAGATTTTTTAAACACTTCATCATCATGGCCGATAAGTTTGCGTTTGCTCCGCAAACAGGTCTCATACTCAAAGGTAGCATTCTGCGTGCTTGAACTCGATGGATACCATATGTAATTTTACAAATGTCTCCTGCTATCTTCTCCCGCGTGGAGATACATTCACGTGCTTTCGCTCTTACCTGAGGTAAGGTACGATACGTACATTTACAACGCAAAGTACACGTAATTTCGCCCCAATTTCCATAGCTGCCACAGTGAACCGCAATATCATTTCGGCGAGCTATCTGGACGCCGACCCCAAAACTATCACCTCAGGCGGACGAACTTATAAGGTAAGGGGTATCAACTGGGTATCAATTATCTGAACATCTATCGAATTTTTGTGACACTCCATTATTTATATGTCGTACTTTGGACATTTGCGCCACATTTCTTGACTGCTACGAGTCTCCTCCGGAGATGATCAGCCTTCTTCTGCCACTGGAAACAGAGCGAGCCTCGGAAGTACCCACTTAGCCATGTTGTAGTTACTTTTTTTTCGAGACTTAGCTGCCAGTTGCACATTCTGGCAGAGTAGTCCGCCGTAAGCTTTGAACGGTTCCTGCGGTATCTACAGCGGTTTTTATTCGTATGCACCGCCATTCCACCCTCTCCGATCCCTTCAACATAATCCTTGTTGACGCTGAGTATTGCTTTTTCGTCGGTTTGTAATCTCATAAGTAGCCAAGGTTTTTCGATGACTTTGCCTGAGACCCTTCTGATGCACAATGTGGTTTCAAGCATGCATTTCTTACAATATTGTTTTGTAACGATGGCTTTGATTGGGGGAATGTTCCTGACGTCTCAGTTTCTCGACTCTTGAAGGTAGCTTCAAGGTAGGCCGATTTCAATCAATGCAAGTTTAATAAAACCATAGTCCAAATTTCAAACACCCTCTTCACAGAAATCATCATCAAAAGTTCCATAACATTTTACCAGCACCAAATACATCTCCTTGACGCAGAGTCGAAACTCCCGTTGTAGATGGCATGGCATGATCATAAAATAATCATCATCGAACAAACTTACTTTTCCCTTGTCGCACATATTTGATACAACACCACGAACTTATTTCCCGACAGAAATCATATATGATTATGGATCCGAATTAAACCGTACTAGTATCTCACCATGCCCTTCAATAATAGAGAGCGCGTCTCTTGTGTCCTGCCTGGTGTCCTGTCTGAGGACTTGCTGATTGATGACCCATTTCTGGACTAGGACTGGGAGACTTGGGACGGACGTATCCCATGAGGAAATCGTGCATGTCAAGACTGAATTCTTTCTATTGATGGTTATGGCTGCGTAAGGTCAAAAGTGACAAGTAATGATAGATTCTTCGTACCTTTGTGCACACTGAATTCTTCTTCCTAGAGCTGGGATACACCGTCCCGTCACGCTCAACGTGGAAGTCGGGATTGCTACCACACTTGCTCTCAAAGCCTTTGATCGACTTCATCTGCTGGAGGATTTTGGGCTTCACATCGCGGTGGTATGTATCGTCTGGAATGACGTATTTTCCAGACCCCCATCGTGGGAAAAGGGCCTTGTCGAGTACACTATATGTGCGGGCGACGAGATCGGCCTATTGTTTAGCCACAATGATAAATGAGTTATGCTTAATAAGTGGCAGGTGGAAACCTTGCACTCACGTGGTCCTGAGCTTGTTGTTTGACGTGATTGAGAGCACGGAGAACTAGCTCCTCGCGCACTGCACGGGCTGAGGGAGCGAATTCTTCATCCAGTCCGCGGGTGGCGATTCCACCGAAGTCGTATCTTGAGGAGAACAATGTAAGGGCCAGAGATATCGAAGTGGAAAACGATACATACCCTTCCTGGGCAACGACGGTGGCGGCAAAGAATGCAACAGGGAAAAGAGTCATGAACTTCATGTTATGTTATATAGGGATGTTTGGAGTTGTCGCGTTTGTTGTGAACTTGCGAACTTGTGAGACCAGCTGAGGTCAAATGTTGCAACGACCGTGGTCTTTATACTTAGAATGAAATACGATCTTACTGCATTTAGTTACTTTTCCGAGGGGAAACAATCAGATTCTCCGGGTAATACACGAAACATCTCCAAGATCATGATGAGAGTCGGGTTTCAACGGGCTCGGCTTGATTTAAGGCCTCGTA